CAGCAGGGTCTGCACCAATTGCCAACACCAAAACAACTGTTAAATCTACTAATAATAAAGACACTGCGAGACAAGGCAGGGTGTTCACATTGGTTCCGGGAGATGTGCAAAATGCGGCAACGGTGGTGTCAGGTACATTTATTGTTCACGGTCATTTCGCTCATGTATTATTTGATTCTGGTTCCACCCACTCTTTTGTGTCGAAACTATTTGCTCCTAAATTAGATAAAACTGAAGAAAAATTGTCTTACATATTGTGTGTGTCTTCACCTTTGGGAGGCCCTATGATTTGTACTTCTATCTATGTTGCTTCTGAGCTCCAACTTGGAGATATCCGGGTATATGCCAATTTATTGCCTCTTGATATGGCCTATTTTGATATTATTCTGGGAATGGACTGGTTAGGTGAATATGGTGCAACTATAGATTGTCTGACTAAACAAATCAGTTTCCACCCTCCTGGGCAATCAGGGTCTACCTTTCAGGGACATGGAGTGACTTCTCCACCTTATTTAATTTCCGCAGCAAGGGCTTGTAAATTAATTCAGAAAGGGTGTCAGGGGTATTTATGCAGTGTTCTAGAGGGGCAAGCGGAGAATGAGAATACCGATATGATCCCAGTTGTCTGTGAATTTCCGGACGTTTTTCCAGAAGAATTACCAGGACAGTTAATAGACCGTGAAATTGAATTTACAATTGAAGTAGCACCGGGAACTCAACCCATTTCTAAGACTCCGTATAGAATGTCGCCAGTTGAGATGAAAGAATTGAAAATGCAGTTGCAAGATTTACTGGACAAAGGATTTATCCGTCCGAGTGTATCTCCGTGGGGTGCGCCCGTTTTGTTTGTGAAGAAGAAGGATGGAACATTTCGGCTTTGTATTGATTACAGAGAGCTTAATAAAGTCACAATCAAGAATAAGTATCCATTGCCAAGAATTGATGACCTATTTGATCAGCTTCAAGGGGCACAGGTCTTTTCTAAGATTGATTTACGGTCTGGATACCATCAATTAAAAGTCAAGGCTGATGATGTAGAGAAGACAGCTTTTCGGACTCGGTACGGTCATTACGAATTTTTGGTCATGCCCTTTGGAGTTACTAATGCCCCGGCAACCTTTATGGATTTGATGAACCGCGTCTTTAAGCCTTATTTCGATGAATTTGTGGTGGTCTTTATTGACGATATCCTCATTTATTCAAAGAATACGGAAGCTCATGAGACCCATCTTCGTTTAATTCTCCAAACCCTCCGGGAAAGGAAATTGTATGCAAAGCTAAAGAAATGTGAATTCTGGCTACTCGAGGTGGCATTTCTGGGACATATTATCACAAAGGAAGGAGTTTCTGTTGATCCACACAAAATTGAGGCGATTGTGAAATGGCCGACTCCTACCAATGTGACCGAAGTGCGTAGCTTTATGGGGTTAGCTGGTGGGTGTTGGGAATAGAGAAGTTATTTGAAGTCTTTCCTTGCACAGAAGCTCAGAAGGTGCAATTGGCTGCCTTTACTCTTGAGGATGAGGCACGCAGATGGTGGATGCTTACGAGAACTGTACACCAAGGGTTGACATGGGACAGATTCTTAGAATTGTTTTATGACAAGTACTTCCCTCAAAGCATGCGGGATAAGAAGGTAACAGAATTCAAAACTCTCAGGCAAGGGAACAGAACCGTCGCCGAATACGAAGCCCAATTTGCAGAATTAGCTCGGTTTGCACCCCATATG